GACCTGCGTACGAAATTTCTAGACATAGGCTTTAGTACCCATAACGAACTTTTATTACGAAATTTGAAACAATTCGGGTGAATAATGTCGCTAAAATCATCAAAATACCGAATATCGGGAAATACCGTCATATGGGGTCTATACGAAAACGTGGACCGATATGAACCATTTACGAACTTAACCTGCCTACTGGCAAAATACACATGTATTTTGCCTTCTATCTCAATTCGTTCGAAAGATAACGTGATTACAAAAGATTGACAGACACACAGACAGATGGACATCGCTAAATCGTCTTGGAATTTTACGCTGATCCAGAATATATACTTTGTAGTGTCTATCATGAATATTTCGAGGAATTACAAATGAAATGACAAGGCTAATATACCTTTCATAGAATGGTGGAAGGTATAAAAATCCGATGAAAAATATTGCAAAAATCATAAAAACATCGAATATAGGGAGTTACCGTTGTATTGGGACCTGAACCTGAATGTAATTTTTGTCATATACATTACGATATTCAAATACGAAACTCGAAACAATAGTGTCGCTTATATCAGCAAAATAGTGAATATAGGGAGTTACCCTTATATAGGGGCTATACGAAGACGTGTACATGCATAGGCAATTTTCGGTCACAGGCTGTACTACCTATTATGAACTTACAAAACGAAAAATTCCGATGGGTAATGTCGCTAAAATCAACAAAATACCGAATATAGGGAGGTACCGCGACCCAATTCCAAAAGTCAAGTAAAAGTAAAATTTTATCAACCTGCTTCATATCGTTTAGTTCGAAAGCTAGAGTGATTTCCATAAACGGACACACAGACAGAGTATACACACTTTGTGGGGTCTAAAACTTATATTTCGAGGTGTTACAAACGGAATGAAAAACTCCCTCCCCATCTCTATTTTGTGGAAAACATTTAGAATTGGTTAATTAATTATAAAATCTTCGCTCTTTCATATATATTTCCCTTCGCTCCCTCCGTCTTAGTTGATAGTCCGTTTGGATTTACTTATATATACGACAGACTCCCTTTTTGGGCTCTCTTTGTTGAATTTAGTCTCCTCACAGTTATTGTAGATTATTTGAGAACTACACACAACATTTACCAAGTTATTTTACTTGCATTTAGACAAAACTACAACAACATTTAGCCAATATCTTTTCATTTGAGAAGAAAACAGTCATTCTTTGCCACACAGATCTATCAATTTGCATTTCAATTAAATTTCATAAATTACACATCCCTTATATGTTTTCCATCAATAATTGTCATTGCCATAATTAAAAGAGTGTTAGCGTTGGATAAGTTTTGTTCTTTTTCAATTATTTATTTATTTATTTATTAAGCCAACCACGAAGTTATTGATTCATCCATCCATTCATGTTTATCCATTTGTCCAGGCGTCCATCCATCGATGCATCCATTCATTCATTTAATATCGCATTATTATTTATTCAGATCACATGGGACCATAATGTTATATTTTATGTCATTTTTTGTGATTCCTCTCGGTTTTTTTACGACAACTTTTGGTTGCTGCTCTGGTCCGGTCTGGTCTGGTTTGGTTTACACGCTTATCAATGGAATGCATGACCAAAGTAGAAGAAGAAAACCATCGGACATAAACTAGCTGGCAGAGGAGATCAATTCATTTGTTTGGCATTCGGGTTATGATATTAATTTTTAATTGCTTGTATTGGCTATCCTTTTGGGAGGTCCCCCAAGTTAACATTTTAATTTGTGTTGGAATCGATACTTGAGTTGTTGATTCTTTTTTCGATATTTTGTTTGTTCCAATAAAAAAGAAACAAATACAATGGCATATGCAGCGATATGAGATCATAAACGAAAATAGATGGACATTTAGTTATGCATTCCATATCTGGTGCGACATAAGTGTAACCATAATCAAAAACTGGTTAGCTGGGTATTCTTGGGGGTGAAAAATTTAAATTATATACATTTTTCTAATTAACAATATATGAAGTACCATATTGCGATGGTACGACGGCGATTTCGTACCATCTCCCTCTGAATTGTAATTAATGAAAGTTGTAAATCTGTACAAAACTCAGATAGATGGAAAATATACGGTCAGTAATTTAAAGTTTGGTCCTGGATTCAACAGAACGGCGCTACGTACCAAACATCCGAAGGTGCACTCGATTTTCAAACAAAAAAATAAATAAAAATAAACAGTAAGGAAAAGTCAAAGTCGAGCTGGGCCGACTATATGATACCCTACACCACTCTGCATATTTAGTAAAGCTCCCATAACAAAATAATTTATTTGAAGTAGATCATACCACCTACCAAATTTGGCTTTAGAGCATTTATAGTTTGAGGGACTTAAACACAAAAGCAGATGAAACATATATATGAGATATATATGCTTCTAGACTGAATTTGGTCGAATGTGCCAAAATTCAGGTCATTTGGACTGATATTGGACATTGGGTGCACAATTAATCCGTAATCGGTTGAAGATATACATGGGAGCTAATTTGATTCGATCTGGACAATATTTGATACACTTATTTCAGAGTTGTATCTGATGTCTGGTATCAAAGCTCATTGTTGTGGAATGCATATTACGCGTGTGAAGGACTCTGAACCCAAATCGGATAAAACATATATATGGGAGCTTTAGGTATATCTGATCCCATTTTCACCACATTAGAAGTACTGGTTTCCAGGATTAATTCAGTCGTAATTGCCAAAATTCAGTCCATTTGGGTTGATATAGGCCACCTGATATCGGATAAAGATATACAGGGTGAGATAAAAACTACAACAAAGTCAAACGTCATAATTTTTACATCGATAATAAATCTATTGTGTCTCGTACCATCGCTCGTTACCGTGATCAGACTACTGGTAGCGTAGCCCGACATCAAGGAAGAAAGCAGCAACATCAGCAGAAATGGTTGGAAAAGTAAAGAAGCGACTTGATCGAAACCCACGTCGCAGTGGCAGAAAAATGTCTCATGAGCTGAACATATCGCAATATTCCATTCGGCAAATATTGAAAAATGAGCTCGGGGTAAAGCCATTGAAATTCTAAAAAGTGCAAGAACTTACACCGCAACAGAAAGAAAATATATTCAAAAGAGCTTCACTTGGCCGAAAGTGGTGAACTGCCGAATTTGTTTTTTTTTTTCGATGAGAAAACATTCGTTGTCCAGCAGTTTGTAAACAAACAAAATGATCGTGTTTATTTGCCAAAGAGGTCAGCTGAAAATGTACACCTTCGGTCATCAAAACTCAAGCGCCGGTCACGCAAACATTTTGGTCATAGACCTTGGACATTTCAACAGGACTCAGCACCATCGCACTCAGCACGCGCTACCCAAGAATGGTTACAAAATGAGGTTTTTCGCTGGATACCAATCCGTTGGACTATTGTGTCTGGAGTATTTTGGAAATCAAAGTTGGCACTAAAAAATACCAAAATATCGATTACCTCAAGCAAGCGCTTCGCCGGGAATGGGCCAAAATCCGCAGAGCAACATTCGGTTTCATTGGGCGTTTGAAGGCCATAATTCGTGCCAAAGGTGACCAATTCGAACAATTCCTCACTTATTCTAATATTTGATGTTATTTCCGAATTTTTTGCTTTAATTGAATAAAATTTAAAAAAAATGTAAAAATGATGGCGTTTGACTTTGTTGCAGTTTTTTTATCTCACCCTGTATGTCTGTATTAAAATATTCTCATATACATCCATTATATAAACGTATATTTTCTACGAGTAAAACTGTTAAATATATCGGGCCCGGCCAAACTTTTGTCCTATCCTTACTGAATCGTTTGATCAACTGCTGGGGTTGAACTCGCAATCTTCTGATATGTAGCTAAAGAGATTGTACACCGGTTTTGATTATGGTCCAAAGATATTGCATCGAAATTTCACGGCCCACTTTTCACGTGAATGCTTCTTTGAGCAATACATTTCAATTCAAACATTCGCACATGTTTTGGGAATCGCCTCTCCTTAATCACCTTAACAGTATCCTTAACATTTTCTTCGATTTAGCAAACCTCCATGGGGACAGTATGACTTTCCATATTTCCCTGAAATTTTAATTTATAAAACCTTAACCTATTTTTCAACATCTCGCAAAAAACAGAATACTTTATGTAACATTTAATTATGACTGCTTTTCGATTCATCAACGTGGCTATTAAATATGTAATTTGTTTGATTTCCTTTTCCTTGAAATCCGGTCTACTTTTCTTTTTCGCTTCCTTAATTAGTATCGGACTATTGTAATATTTCCATCAATACCTTTTAATTATTTGCAAAAGAAACAATTGGCAAAAGCCTCTGTTCTGCTAAAACTTAAGTTGATGCTCAAGATTATTAAAATTATTGTGGAAACCATTGGCAACTGTAATTTTGTTTTTTGTTTCTTTTTTAACAAAAGACCGCTTCTGTTCGCTGCTTCTGTGTAATATCCGTTGTCACAATTAATAATAATACAAATAATGAAAATACTAATGAGTTGATTCTCTTTCGACTATTTCTATTCTTCTCTTCCTTTGCCTTCCTCGCTCTTGCTGCCTTTCCGCATTTCGATTGCACACATTTTGTTGCAATGTTAATGTTTCCCTTTTCTTCTAAATGGATAAACCACCCAAACACCTACACCCACCACCCACACAAATACAAATCGCGTTCAACCATTCCCTGCCCGCGAACAGAAAGCATTTTCAAAGAATCCTTTTGTGACCACGACGACTTTGATGACGTATTTTACAAACGTATGGCCACCCCACTGAGAATGAGGATGAACAAGACCACCGCCACATCTCCGGCTGGTCGCATCGGGGCTGGTAATGTTAGTATTCGCGAGACAGCTAATTTCCTGGGGGTCAATGATAATGTTCGACGACGGCATAGCCTCTATACGTTTAATGATGATAACTGTGACAATGTTTTGCTTAGAGATGTGTCATCCAGCTCTGATTCACTCTTTACAGACCCGCCGCTATCGCCGAACAGTACCAGTGTTGTAACGGCACCTCTTGCAGATTCCCCCGGCGATCTGTGCCCCAATTCCACTGCAACAGATAATGACGATGAATTCCTGGACGGCGAGGACGATGACGATGATGTAGATAGTTCGGCAACAGCAACATCAACGACTACCAAAAAGACAAATAAAAATCTAACGCACAATAAATCACTATCCTACACGGCAGTCCAGTTGCCAACCAACCTGGAACAGCATCTATTGGCGGCAGCAGCAGCAGCCAATGCGAATGCAATCCAAGCGAAAAAACAACGACCCCTCAGTGAAATAAGCATCGCTTCCGGCGATACCTCGGGAATTCTCTCGCCAACAACGGCTCGGGCCATATACGAATTACGTAAGCGCCACCAAGCGGACAAGTTATCGCTGCTGTCAGTGGCCAAAACAAGCTATTTGGAAATTGTGCCAACCGAATTGCCCACAGAATCCAGTCCGGAGAGTACCGATGAACAAATGGCCATGCACTTGGGCAAGAAGCTGGCGCAGGTATTGAGTGGCAATTCAGCTGGTGCTGGAGGTGTCACCAATGCTGCCGGTGTTGGGACGGGCGTAAATACCAATAGTGCTGGCACTCCTGGTTCGCCGCTGCCTGATAATGGAAATTATTTCATTGCTGCAACAACAACCGCCACCAATGAACTCTTCAACATTGCCAAAGCAAAGAAGATTGAATTGCCAAGTTTGTCGTCACGTTTGGTGGCAAGTGCCGCTCCGTCGCTCGACAGTCATGGCATGCAGTCAACAATAGGTGAGTACAGAAAATAGAATAACAATTATTACATTTTTCGCAGAATAATTTTATGAGCTTCATTTCATAAAGAGAGCAAAATGTGTAATGAAGCAGGAAAAAGTGGGAAATCGTACTAAATGGGTACAAAACAGTACAAAAATGAATAAAATATCTATATTAATAAAACGAGTAGACCTATAATTACCAAAATTGGTATGATAACCACTTTTATTGAGTAAAGTTAAATTATGACAGTGACTTTGTTCAATTATGGTTTTTTCGAAATTCGTCCTACAAGGGTACGAAAAGTACAAAAATGTTCCAAGTATAGTACCATATTAAAATTAATACTTGAAGTGCAACTCATCGAAATAATCATTTTAGCCATAACAAAGAATATATATATATATATATATATATATATATATATATATATATATATATATATATATATATATATATATATATATATATATATATATATATATATATATATATATATATATATATATATCTAAATATATAAAAGAAAGTTGTGTTAGTTACTACGCTTATAACTTAAGAACCGCTGGACTAATTTTAACGATTCATACAAATTCGGAATTGTCTTCTCTCCGAAAAGGATAATATCCAAAAAAATCGCGTAAAAATGTGTTATATTAACATTTTCATTTTGACTTTTGAAATGTACAATAGTAATGTTTTATTTTGCATAATTTTTTTCCATTTTGACTTACTTTTTCTAATGTACATATGTAGTGTTTTTTTTTTTTTTTTTTTTTTTTTTTTTTTTTTTGAATTCAAATATTAATACCAATTTATTTAATTGACTTGATTTCTTGAGAAATGAAATTGATGGCGAGTTACATGGAAGTGTAGTACCGAATTATGTGGTGGCGAAACGGAATAGATGATGTCGAAATAATTTAATGGAATCGAATTTTAAAATAGAAGTACATTCTATTCACAAACTATATAAGGATCTTTAAACATTTTCTGTAAAAAATCAGCGAACAAGTTGAAGATTTTTTCAATGTGTTATTCTTCTTTTGTCAATTTTTTTTTTTTTTTCAATTTGTATTATCTAATTGAATTCAGTAAATTTTTTTGTGAACAAAATAAAGAATAATTTTTCACTATATACAAATTTTCAACAAAAAATGAAATAAGTGGGAAATACGATGTTAACTGACATCTACCTTTCAACTCCAGGGCCGACATCGTGGTTCAGCTGGAAGATGCGAACACATTTGAACAAACGAAAATTACCGAAAAACCCTAATGGGGCTCATTTCAAAGCGTGTAACTACTTCTTTCCTGTCACAATAATCCGTCCAATGTACAATCAGAAAAATACCAAATATAAAGGGTGGAAAATAGTAGAGCGAATGGGACTCTTAGTAAGAAAATAATTTCTATCCTTCCAGAAATTCTTCCCAAACATTCGAGATACCTTTAATCGCTTTTGCAGGTCATGATATCGATCATAACTCACGGATAAGGGTACAACCCGATTTCATATTTATATAACCATCGTATGATTTAAGTTTTTTTGGTGTCTTGGTCACTTTTTTAATATTTTGGACATTATTTGGCATATTTGTTTCTAAGGAGGTAAAAAACCTCTTCGCATAAAGTTTGAAATTTTCAGAGTAGGGCCCATTTTGGTCTTGACCATATTCATTAATTGATTTGGCTAAAAATTGTATTTATGCCTACAGATAATTGCCACACAGGAATTTATTTAAGTAAAGTTCCCACATTGGAGTATCTCCAAGTCCACTTTCACATCTAATTGGTGGTCAGAAAAGAAAATTTTGTTTTCTATTGAATTTGTAACCCCCAAGAGAATATTGGTTGGGCCACATTTTGGTATAACCCTTATATAAATGTATCCCTGATTTCAGCTGTGACCGTGGTCTTGGCCACGTTTTTCAACTGATTTGGCCATTATTTGCTGTATTTAGGCTACTTTGTGAGTAGAGAACCGTCTTACAAAAAAATGGGATATACGAGACCGTAGACCTATAAAGACAACTCATTTTCAGGGGTTGAATTAGTTATGAAGAACTCCTTGTGCAGAATTTCAGACAATTCCATTGAAAAAGGTGATATCGATATCGTGGAAAACCTTTTTCAATGGAATTGTCTGAAATTCTGCACAAGGAGTTCTTCATAACTAATTCAACCCCTGAAAATGAGTTGTCTTTATAGGTCTACGGTCTCGTATATCCCCCTCCCGATATTCGGTATTTTGATGATTTTAGCCACATTATTCAATGGAATAGTCTGAAAATCCACTCAAGGAGTTCTCTCTGAGTACTTTACCCCCTGGAACAGAATTGTTTATATAGGTCTACGTTTTAGCATAGCAACCATATAACGCTACCCCGAGATATTCGGTATTTCCAGGATTTTCGCAACATTATTTAACGGAATTGCATCACATTTCGTATTGGAAGTTCGGAATCGGCACTACAACCTATAACAGAAACAATAGAGTATAGTAGTATATCTAGAATTATTAAGAGGAAATATCCCACAAGCTAATATTGGATGCTACTTCATATCCAAATAACAAAATATCGTTAATTGAGTTTAATACTGTCCTGAACTACACAATACAAAAAAACTAGTCCCTCTTTGTCACAAAAAAATTAATTATGGAGGTCCTTGTCTTCGTATATCCCATATATGGTTTTCATATAGATCCTTTCAATTGGTGGAGGGTATTAAAAGTTCGGACTGACCGAAATAATGCTTTTTTACTTGTTTAGGTCTACTTTTATGATCTGATGAATTTTCCCCGTTTATTTTTTTTGTGTTGCGCTGTGTTCAACAATTGGTGGAGGGTATTAAATGTTCGGACTGACAGAAATGATGCCTTTTTACATGTTTAGGTCTACTTTTATGATCTGATGAATTTTCCCCGTTTTTTTTTTTTGTGTTGCGCAGTGTTATCATCGATTGTTTACCTTATATTGAAATATGATACCAAGACCTTCTTTTCCCATATCCTTATTCTTTCAAATTAGGCTGACACTATAGCGGCCCGAGTGACAAATGAATAGGCTTTTTTGGCCCGGATACTTGTATGTAAGCAATTTTACGTCCGGAGATCTGGAAAAGCCATAGTTTAAATGACGTCAGAAGTCGAATCAGTATTGCAGGATGATTTTCAAGTACTTCATCCTATCGAAAATTGTAACAAATTCATCACGAAACTTGGTGGTATGGATGAATCTACGGAAACGCTTTACTCTTTACTGCGATTTGCCTTTGAAAACGACATATACGCAGTTTTAAACGTAAACCCCAACGTTGTAGAAGTAGCTGTGAATTGTAGTCATGTACACGCACAGCCGTATTTCTAATGTGTCCTACAAGTGATCTCTGTTCTCAAACGGGGGACAGTTTGTCATCAATTCTGACACCAAAGACTCGCTTCGTGAGAAATCTTGCCACCATGATACATGTTTGTCCGTCGAACCAAACGATTACAAAAAATGCCATGCATACCGGCTTTGGTAAAGTCCAAACCAACAGCTATTGTCCCCATTGCGGGATTGAAACCATCCATGGCATATGTTGTGGAGTGTTTTGCTCAAAATCCAAATTGGTTAATAATATTTTCCTCTTTTCGATAACCCGGTTGCTTCGGCGCAGTGGGAAGTGTAAAAAAGCTATCCACTGGCTTCTCTTTCCTAGATGTGAACCCTGTTTATGTTTGTCATTTTTGGTATTCTGTAACAGGAAATCCTTGAACCTAACCTAAGGGGACTGAAATTGAAATGAAGGTTTGCATCCAATTACATACCGAACATGCATATTTAGGATTTGACATACGCACTTGTGTGCACACACACACATCCACATGCATCACACACTCTTGACAGGACATTAAGAATCAGAATCATTAGTAAAACGACCATAATCAACATTTAAAAATCTCAACCGAAAAGAAAACTTTATTTAATTTTGATGTAATTTACCTGAGGTTTCATTTGGCAAACATATTTAACCATGATTCTGTTCCGACAACCTTCTGTTTTATCCGTTCATCCATCTTCTTTTCCTTCGCCTTTGCATCGAGAATCTGGTTATGCCCAGATGCCAGAGGCATCATCCGAATATCATCGGTAAATGAATGACTAGCTGGCTGGCTAGCTGGTTCTACTTTTGTGTTTCGAAGAAGAGGGATGAGGGGATAGGTGCACCCATTTTGCTATTTTTGGTAAGGGTTTTATCTTCTTCTTCCTCTTCTTTCTCTCGACAAATGTTTGCAGTTGAATGCAAATATTTTTCATTTGCAAGATGTAGGAGAGGAGACCATAACAATCTGGCATTTGAATAAAATACTTTGGCACTCCATGTGGAAGAAGTGTGAGTGGGAGCCACAAACATGAGAGTAGTCCTTGAAATGTGGTAGAGGAGGAGGGTAGTATTCACAGGTTTGTTAATTTAGCAATTTTCTTTTCAAATGGCTTTCTAGTCACTACAATCGAAAAGTGAGACAAGCAAAAATGAAAAACAAGCTGTAAGATCTGGGGGCAAAAAACAAAAACAAAGTCTCAACGCACAGAAAGACAGACGGGCGGACGGACGGACAGTCGGATAGATTGAATACAAAGATATGTACGAAAATAGAATTGAATGAAAAGCTTGTCGGTTCTTAGCTGTGCATAGCAAGAGGTAATTAACCTTTGTGGCCAATTCAGCAAAGCACCAGCATCGACATCGTCATCGTTATTAACATCTGCATCTGTAATGGCATTAGAGAACCTTTATCGCCTACATCAGTGCGTCTCCCAAGTCCCAGAGTTGGCCTCTTCCATGATGAGAAGATTGGAAAGAAAGTACGAAACATTTTCATTATTGACACATTTAAATTTAAATGAACACTCCCCAAAATACTCGACCAAACGAAATTCAATTCAACCAGAATTTGGGCATCCGGTAGCCAAGTCTATTCTTCGTCAGCACAGTCTGAATGTCTGTCCAGCTGTTGGTTGGCTGGC